AAAGCATGGGTTTTGGGGGGAGGTGTGGGATATATAAACATGTGCCAAAGTGGGTTTCTTAAACCTGCTTCGGCATGTGTTTAACTGAAGACTGGAAGTGCCCCCAGTGTGTAGGCACATTGGGCAGTTGCCCTGGGGCCCCACAAGCATTGGGGGGGGGAGGCATGCTAATTCATGCACAGGCCAGAATTTACAGCTATTTTCCAATCACCTGCTCAACATTCAAACCTCCTGCTAACTTAGGTAGAAGAAAAAACATTACAACTTTTAGCAGAGAGTTGCTAGATAAATTTTTACAGTTTTTATTGCTTGCAATGTTATGGAAACAGAATATTGTAACTGATCCATGGGAGGCAATTAATGGCTGGGGACAACAATTGCTGACAGTGTGCATTTCTACTATCAGAAGCAGATCCTTCACTTTTTATTTTATCACTAATTTACATTTTATTCCTGTCACTGGTTGTATATGCAGGGCTCAGTGGACTGCTTCGCCCAGAGATCTAAAATGCTGTTAAGACAGCCCTGGTAAGTGGATATCTGATGGATTGCAGTCTGATAGACAAGGACCCCTTCCACACAGCTGTATAAAATCCACATTGAACTGGATTATATGACAATGTGGACTCAGATAACCCAGTTCAAAGCAGATATTCTGGGTTATATGGCTGTGTAGAAGGGCCCAAAGTGACTCAGGCAGGAGACCTTTATCCCATATTCTCTGCTTACCTTCCTACCTAGAGCAATCTGAGCCATCACTTTAACAATATGATTCCCATCCACCATTTAGTGAGGTCACACCCCTGCAACTAATAAAACATTACTATTACAGTATAAAAGAATGAAATTATAACTTTTTAAGTTACAATTGATTTTGAATGTTACTTACGGTTGCCCCTCCATGGATTCTATATGTCCTGAGTTAACCATCAATGACTTGAAAATATATATGTATATATTGTTGTTGTTCATTCGTTCAGTCGTCTCCGACTCTTCGTGACCTCATAGACCAGCCCACACCAGAGCTCCCTGTATATATAAAACATCCAAAAAAGAAACCTTGATTTTGCCTTGCTATAAGAGGGACACCGTTTTATTGTGCCATTGAATATAATAGGATTTGAGCATCTACTGATTATGGTATCCACAGTGGGGTACTGGAACCAAACCCCAGCAGATACCAAGACCCCACTGTGGTTAAATCTTTCATAATTTTTTTAAAAAATAATAATTACAAATTATTTCTTATTTACCACAAGTTTTCCACAGTCTCTGCCCAGTACGTTCTTTAACTTATAGACCTTTCTTATTCCTTTTGATTGTCATGTAGGATAATCAAACTATTACTTATAGTGCAATTATTGGCTTTTTACATATGTGAATTGTTAATTCCATTCAGCTTAATAATGTTCTGAATGTCCCACATCACATTATTTTTAACAATTATTAAGCTTGCATAGAATCCTCTTCCTCCTATGTTGGTATGTCAAAAAGCAGAGGGTTGATCACTAATAATGGGGTAGTTGTTGAACACAGAAGTCATCAAACAGGTCTTCCAAGAGATTGAGAATATAGATTGCAATGTAGCATTTGTATTTTGCTCTTTCCCCTGCGTCCCTTCCATTTTGTCCTTATTAGATTTTAGATGAATATACATTGACCTTGAATTATCATAATCTCTATTTTTAAGGGAATCGGTTTTTGCAAACAGGTTTGGTGAGGATAGGACTAAGGCTTGAGATTGTCAGATCAGCCAGGTGTGGTCTGCTTATTTTCATGTTATTTGTTGAACAGGTTTTCAAAAGTGAGTAAACCAGAGTGAGGAGATCATTGATTGGATGTAGAGGTTTGCGCATGGGAGGAATGGGTGGACACACCTAATCTTTTGATTGAATGTATTGTATGTGTTTAATCCTGTCTCTCTGTTTCTAATCTATGTGTAAATGGATTTATCTTTTTATCTTGTGTATTTGAATTATGTTGTAACCTGCCTTGATCCATGGGGAGATCAAAAGTATTATTTTTGTTGTTATTATTGTTATTTCCCCATAATTTCTCAAAGCCAGAAGAACATGCAACATCTGGGACTGAGCACCCCGCTGAATGGACTGGGTTGAGTGTAGAGTTAGGAGGATAACAATGGCAAATGGAGTGGCATCTTTGGGAAGCTCCTGTGAAGTAGAGCAAAAGGTGTGTCCCCCTTAGGCCCATTTTACACTGCCATATACTCCAGATTACCAAAGCAGATAATCCACATTATCTATTTTGAGGATTATATGAGTTTACACTGCCATATAATACAGTTCAAAGCAGATATCATGGATTATCTTCTTTGTAATCTGGATTATATGGCAGTGTAGAAGGGGCCAGATTTCCAGCAGCCTCCCCTTTTCTTTCATACTTCATGCCCCACATGGGTGTGTATATGTGTTTTGAGGACAACTATTATTCAGTGCAAAAACAGATTTAAAAGATTTATGTGACATTTAGGTTTAATAAGTGAGGTGCTGTTACTATACATTTGTGCATAAATTATTTACTTTGTCTGTATTCCTAAAGTACATCTGTATAGAGATTGGGTGATTTAAGACCCTTCTACACTGCTATATACTCCAGATTATCAAAACAGATAATCCACATTGCCATTTGGATTGCCATTTGTCAGTTCAAAGCAGATAATCTGGATTTTATATGGTAATGTAGAAGGGGCCTATGATGTCACAGAACACACATGTGGGCTACAGCAATGCCTGGCAGGGGACAGCTAGTCTATATAAATAAAAATGTAATGTTCGTTTGTGGGATTAACATAACTCAAAAACCACTAGATGAATTGCCGCCAACTTTGGCCACAAGACACCTACTAACCCAAGGAGTGACCATCACTCAAAAAAATTGATTTTATCATTTGGGAGTTATAGTTGCTGGGATTTATAGTTCACCTACAATCAAAGAGCATTCTGAACTCTGCCAACGATGGAAATGAACCAAACTTGGCACACAGAACTCCCCTTACCAACATGGGCATTGACCTTGAGTTTGGGAGTTGTAGTTCACCTACATCCAGAGAGCACTGTGGACTCAAACAATGATGGATCTGGATCTGGACCAAACTTGGCACAAATACTCAATATGCCCATAAATGAACATTGGTGGAGTTTTGGGGGAAATAGACCTTGACATTTGGGAGCTGTAGTTACTGGGATTTAAAGTTCACCTACAATCAGAGAGCATTCTGAACCCCACCAATGACAGAATTGGGGCAAACTTCCCACACAGAACCCCCATGACCAACAGAAAATACTTAAGGCCATCCAGTCCAACTCCCTTCACCAGGGCAAGAAAATGTAATCAAAGCCCTCCTGACAGAGAGCCATCCAGCCATAGATATAAATAGATACGTATGATGCACTCATTCACAGATATCGTATGATAGATTTGAAAGGGACCTCTAAAGAAGGAACATTATATGTTGCCTGTTCCAGAGTAGGCAAACCAGACAATCTCGACATCAACACTGACAAAGAAACAGCAAGAAATACTGTTTACCCACAAGCATCAAGACATTACATAGATTTTATTTGTCGTGTCAGGGCAACCAGTCAATTGTATTACATTTCTACTAGATCAAAACAAACAGACAAAACACAAAATTTGCAAGTTTGGTAATTGATTAAATGTCCTTTGACCAGTATCTGGCCACTTGAAGTGCTTCTGGTGTTGCTGTGAGGAGGTCCTCCATTGTGCATGTGGCAGGGCTCAGGTTGCATTGCAGTAGGTGGTCAGTGGTTTGCTCTTCTCCACACTCGCATGTCATGGATTCCACTTTGTGGCCCCATTTCTTGAGGTTGGCTCTGCATCTCGTGGTGCCAGAGCGCAGTCTGTTCAGCGCCTTCCAAGTCGCCCAGTCCTCTGTGTGCCCAGGGGGGAGTCTCTCATTTGGTATCAGCCATTGGTTGAGGTTCTGGGTTTGAGCCTGCCAATTTTGGACTCTCGCTTGCTGAGGTGTTCCAGCGAGTGTCTCTGTAGATCTTAGAAAACTATTTCTAGATTTAAGTTGTTGACTTGCTGGCTGATACCCAAACAGGGATGAGCTGGAGATGTCTCTGCCTTGGTCCTTTCACTATTGGCTGCTACTTCCCGGCGGATGTCAGGTGGTGCAATACCGGCTAAGCAGTGTAATTTCTCCAGTGGTGTAGGGCGCAGACACCCCGTGATAATGCGGCATGTCTCATCAAGAGCCACATCCACTGTTTTAGCGTGGTGAGATGTGTTCCACACTGGGCATGCATACCTACCAGAAGCACTGCCTGAACATCAAGCAAAAAGTGGGTGCTAGAAACAATATCATACGAAAGCTGACTGGCACAACCTGGGGATCACAACCAGACACAGTGAAGACATCTGCCCTTGCGCTTTGCTACTCTCCTGCTGAGTATGCATGCCCAGTGTGGAACACATCTCACCTATGGATGTACATATATACTGTACATCTAGAATGGAGCTCGAGTATCCCTAAGGAGCTTGGAAACCAACCCCAGTGAATACCAAGGGCCTAACATTTAAGTTAAACATGAATGTCCACTATGTACCCTTTCATTATGATTCTGTTTCTGCTTCAATACTAGTTTCATTTTGATACACACAACCTTCAATGAAATTGAACAATTTAGCAGACTGTACTGCTTTTGTATAACATTTTGTGCTTCTGTTGCGTTTGAGCAACACCAAGGCCCCGGCGCGACTCCCCTCAGGGAAAGACGTCAGCTCAGCGTCTCTCTTCGGCTTTTAAGGGCGAGCTGCCAATGACGTCACCGTCGGCCAGTGACGTGTCACGCACGTCAGCGTCTCCAAGGGCGAAGGTGCGCGAGGAGCAGCAGCGGCTGACTGGCTGTTTCTTCCGCTTTCCCGACAACCTCTGGGCGATTTGGATGTCTAAGGCAAGGTCTGGGGAAGAGCCAGAGGCAGGTCTCGCGAGAGTTGTCGGGCGAGAGCCGGGCGGTGATTGGCAGGCGGCGTTGGGGAGGCTCCCATCGCTGCCTCAGCTTTCTCGGGCGACGCCGCCGCCATTGTCAGTTTCGCCAGCAGCTGGAGAGGGAGCGGACGAGGCGGAGGAGGAGGGAGGAGAAGAAGAAGGAGGCGCTGAAGAGCGGTCCCGGCGGCCCAGCAGGTTGTGCCTTTTTCGTTTGTGAGGGAGAGGAGGGTGGGCCTTGGCGCCTGAGGGAGAGAGGAAGTGTCTCCATGGGGGTGTCCATTTTGTGCGAAGCCCTTGGCCTAGTTCTGGGTGGTTTTCCTGAGGGGCCTCGCAGGTTCCCAGCAGCAGGCTGCAATCTTGCTCCTCTCTCACACACAAGACACATTGGCAACCCTTTAATCGAGGAATGGAACTAAAATGCCTCCTATAAACGAGCCAAGGGGAAAAGAAAACACTAGAATTAATGCAGTTTGACTTCGTGGCACCATACTAGGGAACCCTGTGAGTTGTCGTATAATTTAGCCTTCTCAGCCCAAGAGTGTTTAGTGCCACTCCAAACTGCAACTCCTACCATTCCATAGCCTTGAGCCATGGCTCAAGTAGTGTCATAAACTGGATTAGATGGCAGTATAGATCAAACCCCGTTGATTTGGTTTGGGTAGGAAATATATAATAACAATAACTTTATTTGTACCCTGCTACCATCTCCCCAAGGGACTCGGCTTACATGAGGCCGAGCCCAAATACAACAATACAAGCAATTAAAATAAAAACATAGACAATAAAATATGCAATTTTATATACCGCCACTCCCCGAAGGCTCGGAGCGGTTCACAATATACACATGTAATACATAACATTAAAATCAAGGAAAAATTCGATCAGCAAGGTTCAAATGCCAGCCTAAATAAATAAGTCTTACAAGCTCTAAGAAGGATAGTAAATCTTGGAGAGCTTGTGTCCCTGCTGGCAAGGCATTCCACAGGTAAGGAGCCACTACCGTAAATGCTCTACGCCTAGTAGACATCAGGTGAAAGGTACTAAAATTGGGAACTTCAAGTAAATTCTGGTCGTCTGAACGGAGTGATCTCTGGGGTTTGTAGGGGATGAGGCGGTCCCTCAGGTATTCCGGCCCCAAGCCATATAAGGCCTTGAAGGTAAGAATCAGCACTTTGAAGGTAATCCGATACTCAATCGGCAACCAGTGCAGTTGCTGCAGGATTGGAGTGATATGACACCTCGCTGAGACCAATTTACTTTGTTTTATATCCCACCCTCTCTCTCATTGAGCGACTAATACTGGGCACCATTTGAACCTAGAACAATGCAAACTCAAAATACATATAAACCAAACACAGAGAAAATTTAACACCTCATATAAAACAGCAGAACATGATAAAAACAGTATTAAAAACCAGCTATATTATGTACCAGCTCCATCTCATTGCCGTAGTCTGAATCCATTGCCGTTTGACATGATTGCTCATTGTCTTCCTCAAAAGCTTCCTTCCAGAGAAAAGTTTGTGTTTGCTTTCTGGAGGAAAGCAGGGAGGAAGCCATTCTGGTGTCCTTGGGAAGGGAATTCTAAAGCCAAGGAACCACCCATGAGAAGGCCCACTCTTGTTCCCACCAGCTGTACTTGAGACAGGGGTGGGACTGAGACTAGGGCCTCTCCAACAGTTTGCAGATGCGGGCGGACAGATAGGTTGGGCCTGAACCATGACATTCTTTCTTTATTAACATATTTATATCTATGTATTTATTTAAAACTTTTATATCCCATTTTTCTCTATCTCCATGGAGGGACTCAGAACGGCTAACAGCAAGAATTCAATGCTAAAAATAATAACCTTTTAAAGCATCATACATAAACAATAGGTTTAACATACATATAAGACAAAAATACATATAAAACCATTTGCCAAGATAAAAAAAAAAACATCTTGCTCTTCTTTCAGGGAATGTACAAGGCTGAGTTTCTGATTCTTATCAGCCTGACATCCGGGTGTCCCCTGGACAACGTCCTTGCAGACAGCCAATACTCTCACACCAGCAGCAACTTGCAGTTCCTCAAGTCGCTGCTGACACACAAAAAATCTGTCTGACAACCCAGTGAAGTCAGTTAGATGCAGAATATACCTATACCGTAGAATGAATGCAGCCCAATACCACTTTAAGTGCCATGGGCCAATTCTAAGGGATCATGGAATTGTAGTTTGGGAAGGCACTAGCACTTTTTGGCAGATAAGGCTAAGGATCTTGTAAAACTACAGTTTCTAGGATAATAATATAATATTATTTCTTACCTGCCTTTCCTCACGGAGGGTTACATCATTGTTAAAATACATAATCAAAATGCATAATTATTACACATCAGTCAGCCATGGTGGTATCAAACTGCATTCATTCTACAGTGTAGATGCAGCCTACGTTGCAATTTGGAATTTAAATCCTTACTATGTGCATTGGCATTCAAATCAGATTCTTAATTACATTAACTCATAGAAGGCAAGCTGTTCTAAGAATATATTATTAGTACATGTGCTCTGTATTTGATAGCATTGAGCCATTCTTGTTAAATTGGCCTCAAACTGCATTACTTCTATAGTCTACATCAGAGGTTCGCCACCTTTTATTGATTGGACTCTCCAACATTAGTACCAAAAGGGTTACGAATCAGCTTTTGGCCAACTTTAGATTTGGTTTGGTTATATTTGGGGTGCTGATTCAGAAAATTGCAACTGAATTAGCTAGCTCTTGTTTCTGATATAGAACATGTGCCATCCAATAGTCTCCCATCAGCTTGCTCACAGAAAACCATATTTAATAAGCCTCAGCACTATAAGAGGGTTTCGCAAGATCAGTCACTCTTGTTGCAATGGTGTAGTAATGATGAGGCGGTGGACCATATTTTAATTCTTGCGGACCACTGGTGGTCCACAGACCGCCGGTTGGGAACCACTGGTCTAATGGCACTTACAAGAGACAGATCTATCCAATACACCAAATTGAGCCAAATATCAATATCTTTTATATCTCATAGTGTCTGGAGAGTGTTTGTGATTTGTGTCAAGTACATGTTCTAGGACAGGTTTTAACTTCTTCACCTGTTCCCTTCCTCCTCCTCAACTGTTCTGTGTCCTGAGGGGCAGCTTGACACACATCCTGAAGCTGCTGGGATTTTGTCACAAGCAAATGGAAATCTCCTTTTGGCAATAAAAAAATAGAAAAGTCCCTTGCTCCACTTTGTCCTTCTGCCTTTCCTCTTGTGGCACTGTTGTCCTAATTTGAATTTTGCACCTGTACTAATCGACTCACCTCTTGTAAAGTGGTGAAAAAAGTGGTTAACGAAGGCTTTTAATAAATATTGGTAAGGGGGAGAAAGCACTGAACTTTAATACTTGCATACGTCTTTATCACTTGATGACAGCTGAATGTGTGACTTATTTTCCTTGAAAAACATTGCTTAAGGTGGATATTTTTCCTGTTGCCACCACAAAGTATTGAATGTTCCAAACCAGCAATCAGTGATTGAATATAAATGCGTAAAGTTGGCCAAAGTTGAATCCAGAAAAACCTTTTCCAGACTTTCTCACACTACTAGGATGTTTTTTACCCAATTAAGTTTTGCTGTCTGAAAATAAGGAAAGATAATTTGATCCTTTCTACTTTTCTTCTGGCCTTTAAGTCCTCTGAGTCTCTGCACTCTGATCATCTGGTCCAGATTGTTGGGGAACCTTCATGGACATTGTTGTGTGTGCAGTGGGTGGTATTGGGGAGTAAAGAAGCAGGAAGAAATTAGCAGGTGCTTTCCTCCTTTCCACTAGTTCAGTGGGAAAAAAAATGAACCCTGTATTCAGTATAATCATGGCACTGATGTAATCCCTGTCTTTTGGTGTCATAATGTCTGGATTGCTTTTGGGGTAGTTCTGTGAATATTTTAAGTTTGATGCACATCCTGAAAAGTGGCTGTCTCTGGCTTCTTTCCATTCTAGATTTTTTTTTTTAAAAAAAATGATATTTTACTGATCAGTACCTCGTTTTAATCTGTGTAATGTCCCCAAGGTCTGCCCTATGTTAAAAATTAACCATCTTTGTGAGAAATTGGTTTATCAATTTATCAAGAGAAAAGGAATAGCCATTAGGTTACCCATGTTGGGAATCATGCTTGTCTTCAAGATGCATGGGATTGCAGACAGCCTTAGCTAGCATACTAAAAGGTAAGACATTCTGGAAGTTGCAGTCCAATAACATCTGGAAGGCCACATAGTTCCCTAAAATGGCTGTAATGGTTTAGCTGAAGTGTTTTCATTATCATAGTTCAACTAAACTTGTTCCCAGCTTTATTGTTAAATTTCTTTGAGCAGCTGCTAGGAAAGCATGAATTAATTGACAATTTATACCTTGTATTAAGACCACTAACATGTTACAGAAGTGCCTAATAAGGGCACAAACTTTCAAGCCTTCCAAATCTCATCATAAGCATGATGCTTCAAAAATTAGAAGATAAGGAAAGAAATAAAGAATCTAGAAATCTGGCCCAGTGGATCTGCAACTGCAAGATGATTACTTCAGGCTTAGTAAAGAGAAGGGATGTTAAAGTATCAGATTTCAGCTTGCTGGGAATGAACAGTTAATGATTTCTCTTCACACCAACAGACCAAAGAGCAAGCTGATACTATTGAATCCTGCTTACTGCCTTTTCAAGGCTCTCATATTCCTGAGATGACTAAGAACAGAGTCATGCAGCAACATGGCAGTATTTCTGTAATAAAACAGAACTCTTCATTTGGGTGGTCCACTAGTCAAAAGGCTACTCAAGCCAAAATCTAGGGGTCACTCCGTGACTTAAAATATTTGGAATATTTTTTGAATAGTTCAGTACATCTTGGATGTTGAAAGTTTTCTTTCTCTAGTGGTAAATTCATGAATTAAGGGTGCATATACATTTTAGAATTAATGCATTTTGGCAACACTTTTACTGCCATAGCTCAATGCTTGGAGATGTAGTTTGAGAAAGTTTTTGGTAGAAAAGGTTAAGTGTACACTTATGGTATAGTTGGATTGAGGGAACATAGAGCTAGAGCTATGACTGCTCCTTTCTATGGGGAGCGATATTTGCAATCATTCTGACTCCTTCCAAAGATAGGTACCTTCACCTCAGAATTAGATAATGGCAGAAGTACATTTACTGT